GCACACACGGGGCCGGGGCCGGCGGCGGCGGCCCCGGGCTGGCTGTGGTCGGCGGCGGCGGCGGCGGCGGCAGCAGCAAGGGTTGCTCTCTCTCGGCTTTACGTACCGGTCATAGTGTGTTTAGGGCACCTCAGGCGGGGCTCCCCGCCGCCTTACACATGGTGAGGAGCGAAGGCGGCGGCGGCGGGAGAGGATGCGGGAAGCGGCGGCGGACACGGCCGGAGCGGTCCGGGGATTTTTTTTTCCTATTTTGATTGACTGTGCGGGAAACACAAAAGGTGGAGCCTCCAGCCCAAAAGGGGGGAAGAGGGTGACAGCCCGCCCGGAACTCCCGCCCCTCTTCTTGGCGCTCATTCGCCGCCACGCTCTCCGTCGGCTGTGCTCATTGGTCCAGACGCCCGTCCGTCGCTTGGCCAGGCGGCGCGCTTCCTGTTTGCCCCCCGGGTGGAAGGGGAGAGACAATGAGCGGCCGTGGCGGCGTAGGTTCCCGAGAGCGGCCGCGGCTGGCCCGTTACCCCGCTGTGCCCGCCTCGCTCGCCGGCTGCCGCTGCCAGGCCCGAGGCGCAGGCCTCTTCCACCTCGCGGGCGCTTGGAGCAGGCCCCGCCAAGCTGTAGGGGAGCTGAGCTGGGGAGGAAATCCGTCCCCGTTGGCTCCGGCTCCACTCGACGCTTCCTCCATCCTGGCGGCGGCCTCGGCCGGATCTCCCCAGGGCCTCGCGCTCTCCGAGCCGCCGCTTCCCTGCGCTGTCAGGAGGCCACCACCGCTCAGCCCTGGGGCTGCTGCTGCGGCCGCTGCTGCTACTGAGCAAACCAGACCCGCCCCACGAGCCCGGGGGGAGGGAGCTGGTATTGGGGGAGACACCCCCTCCGAGGCTGGAGGAGGATTTTCTCTCGCACACATTCAGCGCTCAGATTCGCAGCCCGAGCCATCTCGGCCCCATCCCCCTTAGCCCCAGGTTTCCAGTCGGTCTCCCACTTTCACCTACCCTGGAGGCAGGCATTTGAATGCAAGAGAGAATCTCGAGTCGCCTAACACGGAAGGAGAGCTCTAATTCTGGCCAGTAGCACAGCCACTTGCAGCATATTTCTTTTATACGTGTATATATGCTTTCAGTGGGGCAGAATTTTTTTTTTAACAAATCACATAATCGTTTTGCTGCACAAACATATTCTCTGCTTGATCCTCTTGATCCCAAATACCTTCTGAAAACCCCATCAACAATTGCCAACATTTTTTAAGTAGTGAATCTCAGTAAAGTGCTTTTTATTTTTTCTTGGAACATTTTTGTTCTACTATAAAATCTTGTTTCACTTATTGGATTAAGTTGACATCTTTCATTTTTGGCATCCTTGATAGTTGCTGTCATCCTGGGGGAAAACGCTCAGGTTTTATGTGTGTTTTGCCAACTAAGAGACATCTCTGCCTGTTACCTTTAGGTGTAGTTGCCAAGAAAGGTCAAATTGGAGAGGTGGAAACACTGTCCACAATACCCCTTTTATTAGATATCTGATTCAAACAAAAATCAGTGTTCCGGTTACGGTGATTATTATATTTTGTTTGTTGAATGAAGTTGTGTGGGGTATGAGCTTATGAAGTCCAAGCACTTGACTAGATTTTGTGTCCACTAACTAAAAAAATTCTTAACCCCATTTGTGAGATACTGAGTTTGCATCCCAGTTCCAAAGCACTTAACACTTGCCACTTATGCTTATAGAATCGGAAACATTGTATGGTTACTTTGCACTTCTTTGTACAAAAGATCAGATTTCCAGGGAATTGACCTAAAAACCACAAACATGCAGAAATGAGATTCAAAATTCTGAGTCTAACAATAGAGTTGATCTCTTCGATAGTAAGTCCTTTTGACTAGAAGCAGCACTTTAAAAGTTGAATAGTATAACTGGTGTACTATTTTACACTTAAATTTTTAAAGGAAAGTAAAAGAATAAGCTGATGGGAGGGGAATAGAAAAAGAGGGATAAGTAACTTGAAGAGCAGGACAGAGATAAAAAGTGGAGTGAGAGAGGAAGGGAAGACACAGTATCATCCATCTGTGTTCTTGCCTGGATATGTTGGCTAGAGAGTGTAGCTCTTTCCCTAGAAGGGATATTCAGGTATTTTCAGTTTTTTTCATGAGCAAGGATGTCTTATGGGTCTAAATAGGACCCACAAAGGACATTCATTTCTTCATTGATACCAATTGACAAATGACATAAAGAAATTTTCCTTTTTTTTTTTTTTTTTTTTCCCTTAGACAACTCTGACATGCAAAAAACACTTCTAATCTTTCTGAAAAAGAGAAAATAACCTGCCTGAACCAACTATTCTGCTTTTGATGCAATGCTTTTAAGAGATATGGGGTAGGGGGGAGTGCAGTACAGAAAATGAAGAGAGGTTGGTTGATGGGAGAAACATACCATTAGAAGGAATAAGTTCTAGTGTTTGATAGCACAATAGGGTGACTGTAGTTAGCAATAAAACATAAATAGCAGAGAAGATTGAAATGTCCCCAACAGAAATGATATACGTTCAAGGTGAAGCTGGGCATGATAATCCCAGCACCTTGGGAGACTGAGGTGAGAGGATTGCCAGAGCCAAGGATTAGAGACCAGCTTGGTCTACAGTAAATAAAAAAATCAGCCAGAAGTGGTGGCGTGCGCCTGTAGTTCCAGCTACTTGAAAGGCTGAGGCAGAAGGATCACCTGAGCCCAGCAGGTTGAGGCTATGGTAGCCACGAACAGCGCTGAGCATGCCACAGCACTCCAGCCTGGTTGACAGAGTAAGACTCCAACTCAAAAAAAAAAAAATGTTCAACGTGATAGATACCCTAATACCCTGATTTGATTATTACACATTGTATGCATGTATCAAAATATCACATGTACCCCATAAATTGTACAAATTTGAAAGAGATGTATACCAAAAGCATCTTTCACTACTACAGCCAAATTCAGCGAACTCTCTTGACCACACTTGAAATGAGTTATTATCATGGAATATTCTTAAAAGATGACTAGAAATGATGATATTCTCTTGAAAGAACATCTCTTCCTACCTATTTCAATATTGCAGTTAAATCTGGAAATAGTTTAATTAAAAGATACTTATTTTCCTAGTAGAAAGCTGTCTCTCAATGGCACCAACTGCTACATGTATATAGGTACCCAAAACTGCAGTTACTTAAATGGAGAGAAACATGATACTGGACATTATTTTTACTTTCTCCTTTCCAAAATGATTTGAGGAAGCTCTGTACTGGCCACTGTTTACATCGTAGGAGACATATAACTTTATTTCCCCTTCTCAATTTTCTCAATTTTAAAAAAGTTTGTATGTGTTTTTGGAAGTTTTCTTAAATCTTTTGGAAATGGGATGAAGGTCAAAAGTCCCCAAAGGCATGGAATCTTTCACTCATCTCCAACCCCTCTTCCCTACAAAGAGAAGAGGCCACTAAATATTGTTTGATCTGCAAATACAAAAGCCTAGCCATGGTGACAGTGACAGCCCTGGTTAACCACACCATACCTGAAGGACTATGCCCTTTCCTTCACACTTCCTACTTCCGGCATTTCTTCACTCCTAGACATCTCTCAAGTGGAGTGTATGAATTGCCAGTATTCAACTGTTTTGTATTGTTTTTAATCTAAAAGGGCAGCAGTCTGACATCATTCAACCTAAATCAATATCTCATAAACATAGCTTTTGTTGTTTATGATTCTACCCCTACTTTTACCCACCCTAGATCTATTTAACCTGTTCACACTGGATTTCAAGAATCTTAATTTGTTCTATTTACATAATCACACTTCAGAAACATTCTAATTTACAATAACTCGGTATACTTTATCTAATTCATACTTCTTCAGTTTCTTTCTAAAGAAAACCCTCAAAAACCATATTTTTTTCTTAATTTAACAAAAGGTTGCAGTAACATTTTTGAACTTTTAATGTGCCAAGTCCTTTATGTCTTTAACTTTATTAATCCTCACAGCCCTATGAGATAAGTATTATAGCTTTACCATTTTACAGATGAGGAAACTGAGGCATAGCAAGATTATGAAATTTGCTCAGTGTTGCTTTCAAATACGTGATAGGATTCAAATCCACATTGATCATTCTCGACAATCAACATATCAAGTCTTCTTACATGATTACTTTAAAAGATTCACCAACCTGTTATATGAAAAATAAAGGGAAAAAAAAGATAAAGCGCAAAGTGGATAAAATTAGAACGTATTTATAAAGAAGGTTTTTTGTTTGTTTTTGAGTCTGGATTTCACTCTGTCACTCAGGCTGGAATGCAGTGGCACAATCAGCAACCTCACCCTCCTGGGCTCAGGCAATTCTTCCACTTCAGTCTCCCATGTAGCTGGTACTACAGGAACACACCACCACGTCCATCTGATTTTTTTTTTTTGTATAGATGAGGTCTCCCTATGTTGCCCAGGCTAGTCTCAAACTCCTGGTCTCAAGTTATCTTCTCATTTCAGCCTCCAAAGTGCTGGGATTACAGACATGAGCCACTGCACCTGGCCAAGAAGATCATTTTTAAAGCAAGTCTTTAAGCTCTTTTGAACTTCTTGTGTTAGAAGGCCTGTATTTTGAATGCTCTAACCAATACCTGACATGTTGTAGATGTGTGATATTAAGCAGAAAGCTCGTCAAAACAATGATTGATAAAAGTAAAATTAATGGAAAAATACTATATGATAAAATTTATTTGACCACTTTCAAGATAATCTTCCCCAAATGAGTTAGGTCCTCATTTTCTTTTTGTTGTTTATTTTTTGACTTGGAGTCTCACTCTGTCACCCAGGCTAGAATGCAGTGGCACGCTCACAGCCACCCCAGCGTTGACCTGCTGAACTTAGGCAATCCTTCTGCCTCATCCTTCCAAGTAGCTGGAACTACAACCGCGCACTACCACACCCAGATAATTTTTTATTTATTGTAGAGACAAGGTCTTGCCAAGTTCCCCGGGCTGGTCTTGAACCTGCAGGCTCAGGCAATCCGCTGGCCTCAGCCTCCCAAAGTGCTGGGATTACAGGCTGAGCCACCAAGCCCAACCAGGTCCTCATTTTCATTCAAGCTCCACACCAACAACATTACCATGGCCTGATATCCTTATAATTCAAGAAATCTCATTCCTTTTATCCAGCACATTGATATTTCTTAGTATTCTGAAATTCCTAATTCACAACACCTCTGAAGTGATCTTCGTGTCAGTCCAGAAAGCTCAGTCCATTGACATTAGATTGTGAATCATGGCAATTTTCCAAGAAAAAAAATGGTTTACCTTGTTAATAACCTATCTTAGAAGAATAGAGAATGCTAGAAATTCTCTTGGTTGTAAATTAGCAAATTCAAGAAGTGACTTTACTACGTGGATGTCCTTAAATGATGAGCAACAACCTTCAGCATGAAGTGTATTCATACTTTTATTTCATGATTCAATCATTATCTTAGAATGGAATTTTTCTTTCCTTTAATCGCATAAACCAGACATATGTCAACTAATCCCAAAAGAACCACCATACTCAAAGTCTAGCTACAGAAGTTAAGAGAAAGGGGGGAGACCCAGCGCAGTGGCTCATGCCTGTAATCCCAACACTTCGGGAGGTGGAGGTGAGAGGATTGCCTGAGCCTAGGGGTTCAAGATCAGCCTGGGCAACATGATGAGACCTCATCTCTACAATAAAACAAAAAAGTAACCAGGTGTGGTGGTGGACGTCTGTGTTTCCAGCTACTTGGAAGGCTGGAAAGAATTGCCTGAGTCCAGGTGAAAGAATTGCCTGAGTCCAGTAGATGGAGGCTGCAGTGGCCGTGAGCATACCACTGCACTCCAGCCTGGGCAACAGAATGATACTACAAAAAAAAGAAAAAAAGAGGAAGGGGAAAAAAATAAAGAATGGCATAGCTGGGACAAGACTGAAGAGAACTGTAGAAAGTATTGAAGACAGTTTTTACCTGACTTTAGGGAATAGGATGCTCTCTGGAGGTTGAGACAGAAGGATCACCTGAACCCAGGAAGTGGAGGCTACTGTGAGCCGTGATCAAGCCACCGTACTCCAGCCTGGGCAGCAGAGACCCAAACTCAAAAAAAAGAAAAAAATTAAAAATAAAAACAATATAACTCTTCGGTTGTCTCTAGCTGCTATCTTCCTTTTCTCTCCTTATCCAAGGTCTCAATAACTTGTTCTCTTCCTACTGCCTTTCTAACTCTACACCCAATTTCAGCACTTGACACTGTAAGCATTTCCTCCTTCAAACTCGCTCCTCCCTTGAAATGTTATCTACTTTCTGGTTTTCTTGCAAATGAATATTTCTCTGTATCTTTGCAGTAATGTCCCATAAAAAAATTATCTGTGGTGATGGAAATATTCTATGTTTACATTGTCCATTACAGTAGCCACTAACTACATGTGGCCACTGGGAACCTGAAATGTGGCTAGTGTGATTGAGGAACTGAGAGGTTTCATTTTATTTCATTGTAATTCATGTAAATTTCAGTTTGAATGGCCACATGTGCTTAGTGGCTGTTATATTGGACAGTGCAGCTGCAAGGTTTTTTCCTCCTTCCAGTCACTAAATTTTTTATTTATTTGTTTGATTGTTTATTTGTTTATTTATTTATTTTAGTCAGAATCTCACTCTGTTGCCCAGGCTGGAGTGCAGTGGCACAATCACAGCTACCACAGCCTCAACCTGCTGGGCTCAGGGGATCTTTCCGCCTCAGCCTTCCAAGTAGCTGGGATTACATGCCCACACCACCATGCTGGGCTAATTTTTTTTTATTATTTATGGTAGAGACGAGATCTTGCTATGTTGCCCAGGCTGGTCTGGAACTCCTGGTTCAAACAATCCTCTTGCCTTGGTCTCCCAAAGTACTTGGATTACAGGAGTGAGCCACCGTGCCCCGCCTTCTGGTTGCTAAATAAGAACATTCCTCCAAACTCAGTTTCTGATTCCCCAAGTTTTCTTTCAAACCCCACTCCTGGAGGCCCAATATTCTGCAGCTTCAGCCCACATCCAAACGCAGCCCCACACCTCCTCAGTTATTTCCTGTCATCTGAGTTTCTGTTCCAGATCCTTAAGCACTGTCAATTCCTCCCAAATCTCTCATTTTCACTTCCACCTCAGATGTTCAAAGCTAAACTCTTGCCTTTCTCTATAGAGCCAGCTTCCCTGCCTCCAACACTTCTGTTTCTGTCAGTGATACCATCACTCTCTCAGAAACCTCTTGGACACATCTCCCCTCCTCTTCCATAGGCAGCCACTTACCAGGTGCTGACAAGTTGCCCTGCAGTGTCACTCAGCTACCTGTTTGTGAAAATCACAAAAGTTATTGACCCTGCTCTTCAAGACACGCCATGGCCCCTACTCTCAAGAAGCAGATAATCCACTTAAGAAGCAAAAGATAAACGTATACAAATTTGAATAAGCGAGAAAGTCTACAATCCACCGGACGCACTGCAGAAGGACTGCCCTCTAAATTCAGGAATCACTGGGGGTCAGTCAGCTCCTTCTGGTGGGATCCAAGCATGCTGTTCACCACACAGACTTCTGTAGCCCTGGACAGGACTCCAAACTTTCCTGCTCCTTGCTGTTCTACATCCGCCACCAAATTCATCTGGCTCAAAAAAAACTTTAGTGATTTCTGTGATCTAACGAATATCCAATGAGAATCTCCTCACAACTCCTTAGTGTCACTCTCACCCTTGAGAGTTTGCTCACTCTCTGCCACCCAGCTCTTCCTTCCTCCTTCCCTTCAGTTCACGTCTTAACGGCTTTCCATAAAGCCATTGCTTCCAGCTATTGGTCATTCCCTCGTCTTTAACTTTCCATTAACCTTGAAGTGTACCCCTTAATATTGCATTTCATTCATGATTTAGCATTGTCACCACAGTTTAAATCACAAGCGCTTTGTGCACAAGTATAATATCTTGCTTTTCCTCTGTGACTCTTAAGCAGTGATTTGCAAGGAAAGAAAGAGGTATCATCTGAAAACAAAATACTGCTTTGTCCCACAAGAACTTAAAAAAAAAACCCAACGCTATGACATTTAACTTATTTGAATTTGAAATATTAAAGGAAAAAGTGAGATTTTTATGTTTTATCAAAGGAGTCGTGTTGTTCAATGAAAAAAGTCAAGAAACAATTCTACAGTGTTGAGCAAATAGAAGTTAATTGACAGATATCTGTTAAGCAATTCATTGATATCAAAGAACCATGAATTTGGATTATTTTAGGATTAAACTTTCAGACTTCTTATTTTAATGGAGAAACTGTTAGTAATATGATCAGCTGATCATAAAGGGGTCACAAAACTGTTACAGACCAGCTGAACAAGCCATCAAAGACATAAGGAAATCTTTGATTGTTTTTATTATGACCCATTTGATACAGTGTATATGTAAAGTATAAAACAAATAAATTAGGTGATGAAGTCACCTAATTTAAAAGATTTGTGGAACAGATAAACACCATAATTTAAGAGTTTTATCATCCTTAACAGAAAATGACCTTATTTCTGTGCACTCTCGTGTACACATGCGCTCGCTCTCTCTCTCTCTCTCTCTCTCTCTCTCTCTCTCTCTGTATTTCAATGAGTTACATTATTTTTCTACTATATCAAAAACATATTTCTTTTAAGTTCTATAGTCCATAGTTCTGTTTTCCATATATCATTGGAATTACTTTAATTTCTTCCTAGCATGCTTATTTAGTTGTCTCATGAGTTTTCGCTTTTTCCTCTGTCTTGAACATTTTGATTTCACATCACTGTGAGATAATCTTTCTACCTCATATTTCCTCCATAATGAATTGAATAAGTCACTTATCTGCTTATGTGCCTAGTCTACTCAAGTCATTTCATTTCTTCTCTGTATTGACTGACCCTCCCTCTAGTTTTGTATGACAGGCTTACTGCGTGTTTCTTCTTCCAAGTCATTGATATATAAAATGAATAAAATTGGTCCTAATATCGATCCCTGGAGTTTTGTAATCCATCCATTAGAAACTATTTCACACTTTGATATCAAAGTCAATGTTTAATCTACTTAAGTAGTCCATCCCCATGCCATACTTATCCAACTTCTAGATTAGTTGTTTGTATAGTATTCTTTTCATGGTACTTCATCCTAAAATCCAAGTAATTGGCTCATGGCTTCCCTCAACTGATAATTATCAGACTCAGAAGTTATTTCACATCACTGAGGTTGATAAGATGTGAATCCTGCTGACTTGCTTTCAATTAAATCATAATTTTCTGGTATTTCCAATTGTTAATTTCCTACAAAATTTACCAATGTCTTCTCCTCTATAGAAGTTAAACTTGGGCTGGGTGTAGTGGTCCAAATCTGTTATAAAAGCACTTAGGGAAGCTGAGGCAGGAGGATCACTTGAGGCCAGGGGTTCCAGAACAGCCTGGGTTGGCCAGGCATGGTATCTCATACCTGTAACCCCAGCACTTTAGGACTGAGGAGGGAGGATTGCTTGTGCCCAGGAGTTTGAGACCAGCCTAGGCAATATAGCAAGACTTCATCTCTACAAAAAATTAGCCAGGCATAGAGGCACACACCTGTAGTCCCAGGTACTTGGGAGGCTACAGTAGATTGCCTGAGTCCAGAAGGTCAAGGCTACAGTGAGCTCTGATTATGCCACTGCCCTCCAGCTTAGGTGACAGTAAGACTTCAACTCAAAATAAAAAAAGGTCAGCCTGGGTGACATAGCAAGATATTAAAGTATTCCAAGTTGGCCAGGTGCAGTGACTCATGCTTGTAATCCCAGCACTTTGGGAGGCCGAGGTGAGAGGATTGCCTGAGCCCAGGGGTTTGAGCCTAGCCTGGGCAACTTGGTGAGACCTCATCTCTACAATAAATAAAAAATTTAGCTGAGCGTGGTGGCACCTGCCTGTAGTTGCAGCTACTTGGAAGGCTGAGCTGGAAGGATCACCTGAGCCCAGCAGGTGGAGGCTACAGTGGCCGTGAGCATGCCACTGTACTCTAGCCTGGGCAACAGAGTGAGACTCCAATTCAAAAGAAAAAAGGAAAAAATAAGTATTCCAAGTCGCCTTTATCTTTATTGATGAATTCAAACATCTGTTAAGAATAAAGAAGAGCCGGGCTCAGTGGCTCAGCCTGTAATCCCATGCCTTTGGGAGGCTGAGGTGAGTGGATTGCCTGAACCCATGGGTTTGAGACCCGCCTGGGCAGCGAGACCTCATCTCTACAATAAATCTAAAAATCAGCTGGGTGTGGTAGCACATGCCTGTAATTCTGGCTACTCGGAAGGCTGAGGCGGAAGGATCGCTGGAGCCCAGCAGGTGAGGCTGCGGTGGCCGGGAGCAGCCACTGCACTCCAGTCTGGGCGACTGAGTGAGACTCCAACTCAAAAAAAAAAAAAAGAATAAAGAAAAAAATAGTCACATTATTAGGTTGATGCATAAGCTCATAGCGTTTGTTTTTGTCATAGCAACATTGAAGTGTTGAGAGTTCACCGTTTGTCATTTGTCATTTGGAGTGACGATGTTATGCCTGTGAAGACACCTTGCATTTTGCAGATCTGAAGAAAGTTACTGCTATTTGTGGGCTAAAGAAGACGGAGTGTCAAATGGAAAATAGCGAACACTTCCAATATATTTTTGTTTGGGTTTAACGGAGGAGAAAAGGCAGCGGAGGTGGCTTGAAACATCTGTACTGTGTGTGGGGAGAACGCCATTCATTTCAAAAAGGGCCACTTTGACCTGAGTGATTCTCCGCGTTCAGGAAGACCATTGGACTTTGATGAAGACCATTTAAATGCTTTGATCCATGATGATCCGCATCAGTCAACCCGAGAATTGGCAAATGTGATGAATTGTGACCAGTCAACCATTGTGTGACATTTGCATTTCATGGCAAATAGAAAACACTATGAACTTATGCATCAATCAATACAATAGTACTCTATTAGTTAAAATCCACAGAACTGTATACCTAAAAAGGGTGAGTTTTACTACATGCAAATTACACATCTTTTTTTTTTTTGAGTCAGCGTCTCAC